CATATCCTCCTCGGTTTCCTACAATCAAACACAATTTTCCACCAAGAAGAACTAAACAGCATCAACAAATAATTATATATACTCATACCTTGTTGTACGAGAAGAATCAAGCAACATCAACAAACAGTTGTACGTAATAATACCTACTTGTACTAGTAGTACTAACTTAAACAAATCAAATATCTAGTTGTACCTAATAGTCCAATTTGTACCATAACAATTTGAGCTTAGTTGTAACTAGTAATCCTATTTGTATCAAAACAGTTCCAAAACAAGTAGTTGTACCTGTAATACCTATTTGTACCAAAACAGTTTATCTTTCCAGTTTCAACAAACAATACCACAACTATTCCAAAAGATGAATACATTTTGAATCTAATTACCTCGGTAGATCTGGCATTTGAAGTTTCAGGATTAGAATACCCGGATTTTGAGGATCCATCTTCTGTAGATCTTTTTCCCTTTCGAGATCCAATATTTGCAGAACCATTTTTTGAAGGAAAATCATCAGCTGCCGTTTCTTCTTCATGATCAGTTTCTCCTTCCATTTCTGCTGGTAGAGGAAGAGGAGGAAGAGACTTTCCTCTTCCACGAGAAGAGTTCTTCCTAAGCAGAGGCATTTTGATTCATGGATTATCAAAACAAAACAGACACAATCAGTTGGATGTTACATATTTCAGTAGGAAAATCCATAATCTATTATATTTCATCCAACAAAAATCGATAACGTAAATTCCCAAATTTCAGTGTCGAGACCCTAAACCCATATTTTATTTTCTCAATCGCGAAACACAACTACAAAATCAAACCTACAAAGCAGAGAACCGCCATTCTTGAAACCCAAAAACCGAAACTCCAAATTCTTAATTCAAAATCGAAACCCAACGGACGACGACGACGGGAAAGACTAAGAGATGAGAGACCCTTACATTCAGAGAAAGATTCAGAGATGAGAGACGACACTCAACGATGGGAAAGACGACTGATTGATATTGAAGACTCCGACGAAGAAGGATGGCTCCGCCGTTTTAGAGAAAAGAAGATGAGAAACTTTTTTTTTGCTGGAAGAAGTTAGCGATTTAGGTTTTTAGAAGATATGGATCCGGATCAGTTTTTGGATATTGGTTGGATCTGTAATTATAGTGAAATTTTAAAGATCAAAGAATATTTTACCAAGTTTTTTGTTTTTAAAAAATACATAAAAAATCAAATATTATAAAGAGGGTATAAGAAAATAATTTTCTATGTCGAGAGGCTTCTCAGCTATTGATCCCTTTATTACGAAGAGTTTACAAGTAGTGACACTTTTGAACCAAGACACACTTTCTTATGTGTCAATTACCTTTGTACCCCCAAATCAATTTGCTATCTCCTCTGCAGAAGAAATCAGCTATCAATTG